GCTGAGTACAGTCTGTCTGTCTATTCTTTCTGCATTGAGTCTCTTCTGTCCTAGGTCATAGAACTCTGTGGATGAAGGATAGGGCTTTGCTGCCAAACCTGCACGAGACTTAGTAGGACCAATCTCTACTCTGGTATCTGGRGACCTGGGCATGAGCGGCGAGCGCTCGTTAAACAACTCGTCTAGCCCAATGACCGGTACTGTCCGGCAGGTCTTCTCAGTTTCAATGTATAGGGTTCGAACTCTGAGCTGCAGGCTGAAACGGAGGCCGTCTTTAAGTGTTGAGGGCCTGTTGGAACCACTCCCCTACCAGACCAAGTAAGGCTGATGATCTGTGTCTRACGACTCGACTGTCCCGGGGGATACGAACCCTCCCAAGGACYGGTACAGACCGGCGGGCTGCTCGGTGTGGCACAGTAGGCTGGAAAGGCTGAGTTGTGGGCTGAAAGCACAGGCAGAACCAAGCTGATCACGTCGTCCTGTTTGCGACGTTAAAGAATTCTTGAGGAGTTACGGGGGATCTCCTTAAATGCCTCCTGATCAGCCACTGGTTCAGTAGTGACAGCCATAGTGTAGGTCTAGGCTAGAGACCATAGTTGACAGGATCCCTGYCAGGATTMTSTGAGTCTTAGRTTGAGTCAGTAGGTCTRTCAGTYAGGGGTTGAYGTCTACGTGGTGAGGTTTGGAACCTCTAACCCGGTTGTACACTTATCACCATGGTTGAGACCCGTAGTGGGAAGGAGACTAGCCCCTACACCACTGAGCAGCAAGAAAAGATGGCCGCCTTAGTTAGAGAGAGTAAGGAGAGGAAAGAGCGTGAAAAGCAAGCCAAGCTAAAGGCTATCGCAGACGAGCAGGCGGCGAAGATGAAAAGATTGGAGGAGGAGATAAAGAAAGTACAACAAGAGGAGGAAGAAAGAAGAAAAGCTGCTGAAGCAGAAGCGGCATCAGAAGAAGAGAAAGAGAGGATGAGGATTGAGAGTGGAGAAGGGAGTAGTAGTGGCACGATGACGAGGGAGACAGATACAGGGCTGGAGAAGAGGATCAGCGAGTGGGTCGCTAATTTATTGTTGGGAGAAGACAAGGAGGCGGAGTCCTATGTGACTAAGGATGAGAAGGCTGCGCTGGCCGCCGAGCTAGCAGCCATGCTAGACCCGATGGAACGAAGAGAGAGGGAGGAGGAACAAAAGTTAGCATGGAAGCTGAGGATGAAGAGAGAGAAGAAGAAGAGGAGAGAGGAAGTGAACAACATGACCGCAGAGGTGGCAGAGGTGCAGGAGTGTAGAGCGGAGGTGCTGGCCCAACCAGACGATAAGGCCAAGCGGGACAAAGTACTGGGGTACGTGGAGGTGTTGAGCAAGGCCTGGATGGAGGAGCGCCAGGCAAGCTGGAGC